CTTTCTTCCAAGTCTGTCTTTGTTTGGAAGCTCATCTGAAACCTGTCCACCATGGGTGACCCTGCTGGTTATTTAAAATACCGGTGGCATAGCCCTCAGAATCACAGCAATTCAAACCACCACAGCACGACAGACAGATGAGTGGTGGTTGTGTGGTCGCTGTTAAACACGAATCTCCTTGCGCTACAGCCTTTAAGTCCGGCTCAAAGGTGGGATTTCCGTCCTCAGATGTCGCGTCGGTCAAGAGGTGGAAGCGCAGCAGGGGCGACAGGGTTGTAATGAGATGCTTTGGGCTGCGCTTGTGGGTCTCTAAGTTGGTTGAGATGTATAGAACCTTTATAAATTTTGTAACTGATCCTACTAAGAGTTATAAAGACCCAGGGAGCATAGGTCCCAATGTTCATGCTTCCTTAATGCATAGTCTGCAAAATATCTTCCAAGAGTGACCTTCTTTCTCTTTGCCCAAGTGTTGAGGTGATAGGAAGTCTGTGCTAGCTCTGGCAGGAATAGAACATTTCTTTTGGTCAACTGGTATTTGAAAAAGTTTTCTGCAGGGTGGGATCAGCAGAAGTTCTTAACTTCATAGGCCTCAAATATTTTGTCTGGCTCTAGCATCCTAGTGTGGCGCTTAGGATAGGCACTGGACTAAAAGGTCGATTTGAACCATAAGGTCGGCAGTTCAAATTCACCAGCTGCTTCTCAGAAACCCTAAACAGGGTCATTATGAATCAGAAATGACTCGACGGCACTTAACATCAACACTTTGGAGAATAGGGATTCCCAGACTGCTAATCTAGAACACGTGCTGGAGGTTTAGATCCAAGTTGGAGAACCACCTCCTTGAGGTTTTTGAAATGTGTTTCTGATCCCAATCCAGAGCCACATTAGTGTTGGCCATTCGTGGAGTACAAAGTGAGAAGTGCCAGGAAGTCAATGAATTGAAGTCGTACAGTAACAGGACAACCACAGTGCAATTTGACTGCCTTTTGTGGGATGGGAGATATATTTGACATATATATGTGTTTTAATTCTAACACTAGGGTGCTTGTCCAAGTTGGCCTGATTTATGTTTGGTTTATATAGTGGAATGAGATTCATCTAGATGACCCTTTGAACCTTTTATGAATATTGGTTTTATATGATATATATATATATATATACATATCTGCCTATCTATCTGTCTACCTACCTACCTATCT